GTGGGAGGCAGGGAAAATGCAAAATTTGAACTTTCAGTTAACTGTTGGCCAGTGAAAAGGGTGCCTGTCTGCTTCCTCACTCCTCCCAGCGTTTAGAGAGTGGACTGGGAGACAGTCTTCAGACTGCCTGGTACTGGACTGCCTGGACTGTATTTTCCCTGCCTTCCCTGAACCTTTCTTGACCTAAGAAAAAAAGAAACAAAATATCCCCCTCTAGTGGTCGAAGGCAGAATAGCAGCTTCCCATTAGTTTCTATGGATGGAAAAGAGCAGATACGGATCAAATAGTTTTCAATGCATTCCTATGGGAAATGCAGATTTGACCTGAGAACTTTTTGACTTGAGAACCGCCTTCCAATACGGATTAAGTTCTCAAGTCAAGACCCCACTGTATATGGATCAGTACCAGGTATCTCTGAACAAACACACCAAGGCTGATAATCCTGGCCATTTCATAATCCATGTGTGCTTATTTTCCATAAAGCAGATCCTTCTAAAAACCCCTTTAAGTCTTTGTTTTACCTATACTATGACAAACAGACTTGAAATTTAATTTTAATGTTATAATAAAAGGGTTGATTTGCATAACTGAGCATTTAAAACATTGCTCTTTGTTTCAGTAACAGTAAATTCTGTTTCTTGATTTTGCAGCTGAACATAAAAAGAACAGTTGATTTTTCCCCACTATGCCTTCCTAAATCCATCTTCTCCTAAACCTAAAACATTCCAACTTTTCACTTCATTTTATTTTCTTTGTCCATCTGCCACACATGCTATAGACTTCTGCTGAGACCATTTACAAAACAATCCAAACACAGAAGTATAAAATTCATTTCCTCAGGCAAAGGGTATAAAAATTATGAATGAAAGTCCCAAAATGGTCATGGCAGAGATCCTCCAGGCACAAGGTAAAATACAATGGTAAATCTATTTAATAATAATCTATTTAATTTAAATGTTGACAATGAAGAAACCAAAAGTGTCAAATAATTTTTATGCCACAGTTCAATCATCAAATAGAAACTGGAGACAAGAAATCAGAAGACCAAGATTTGGAAAGGCAGTTCTGAAGGAACTCAAACAGATTCTCAAGCACAAGGATCTGTAACTGGAGATCAAGATCATCTGTACTGTGGTATTCCTGATTGCTACGTATGGTTGTAAAAGGTGCACAATGAAGAACGTACTGTGGTATTCCTGATTGTTACGTACTGTATGGTTGTAAAAGGTGCACAATGAAGAAAATAAATCAATTCACTTGGAATCTGATGTTGATGGAGAGATTAAGAATGCTGTGGACCACCAGAAAGACAATTAGTGCGTGTTCGCTCAGATCAAGTTCGAATTTTGTCTAGAAGCAAAAATGACTAAAATAAACTAGTAGGAGGTTTTATAAAGGGGGCCACTGAGCAGGCTGTGTGGCACACTCAGTTCTGGCCTGAGTGTGCCACTTTTGACCTGACCCTTTCACTACTGCTCTGTATCAGTCCACGCTGCTGCAAGCATCTACCACCTGCATCACTGAGTCAAGGCAGGGTTACTCCCACATAGGGAACTAAAATCATTTTTTTAAAAATTGAACTGCAAAAAGGCATGAAGTACTGGGATAGACAACCCAGTACCCTCTGGATGTTTTGAACTACAGATGTCAAAAGTGTCCCGGCCCGCATAGCCAATGGTTGGAGATTATGGGATTTGTAGTCTGAGTGCATCTGGAGGGTACCACATTGCTTACCCTTAAACTACAAAAAAGGGGGGAAGCTGCTTATCCTTAATTCAGGTAGTTCAGGGGTAAATAACACAGTCACCTCAAAATTCCATAATCCCCAACTGTTGGCTAAACTACCTGGAACAGCTCTAAGAGCTGTTAGTTCATAATTCTAGTGAGCTGTTATAGCTCAGTGGGTCAGACAGCCTTGCAGGCAAGACACAGGCCAGGGGTTTGAATCCCTACTACGTCCCCCAGGAGAGGAACTTCTTGAGATCACCCAGGATGTGTGGAGCTGATGGGGCTAAGCGCTCCACCACCATAAGGCTGTGGGAAAGCTGCATGTTCCCAGACAGCCTCTAGAACAAGGTAATCATCAAACACTTCTGAATGTTCTCTTCCCAGAAAACCCTGGAAGGGTCACCATATGTCAGAGGCAACTTAACAGCACACAATGATTATTAATCTCAGCAATATTACTCTATCATCTTTATACAAAGTACACTAATTTAAAAAAATATTCTCAGACTTTGACAAGCTCCTCCCCTGGAATCAATACTATAGTACAGTGGACCCTTGACTTACAGATGGCTTGACTTACAGACTTTTTGAGTTACAGACTTCTCTGGCCGCAAAATTTAGGTTTGACTTCCAGCCTGAGAATTGACTTACAGACCAGAAAAAAACCAAAATGGAACAAAAACGGCCTGTTATGGGATTAATCGGTTTTCAATGCACTGTAGGTCAATGGAGACTTGACCTACAGATTTTTTGACTTGAGAACTGACTTCCAATACGGATTAAGTTCTCAAGTCAAGACCCCACTGTAGTATTGATTCCCCGACTCAGTCTTTAGCATATGTACTTTCACATTTATGATAATCTATAAGAAGAAAGGGCAAGGATCTTGATGAGGCTCATCTACAATTAGCATCTGGACATCAGATTTGACAGACGAGACATACAGTCATGGGGTCATAGTCTGTCCCACCATACTGAGAAATACTGTACTGTATTTATATTTGAAATATAGCAATTATTTCCAAATAGGCACCCACACAAATTAATTAGCATATGCACAGTTCTTGCATCATGCTCTCTCTCTCTCTTTTTGATTATGTGTCTTCTCCCTGCCTTCTCCTGCCCCTCTGAGAACCCCACCGGGCGCAGACCCTTCTAAACAGCCTTTTGCCTAACTTGAAATGGGTTCTTTCATTCTGGTTGGTGATTCAATTCCATTTTTGCTGTTCACTGCAGCTTTTGTTAACTCTTATTGCAGAGTTTGTTTGTTTGGTTTGGAATTTATTTTGCTTCTACTGCCTGAATTCTATCTACTGGTGTGTTTGTTTGCAGTCCATTTAAATATATTGATTAGCTGCCTTAGGTAGTTGTTACAACATAAGGCAGGGCATGACTTTTAAGAAATAAATAATATGTGACTGTGATTCAAATTAAATCTTATAGTATTCAGTGGGCTTTTTGTCCTAGTAAATGTCTTTAGGATTACAGCCTTAGCAATCTTTGGACAGTATACACATTTACCATTAAACTGAGTGGAATTCATTTCTTCAGAGATTTCTGGTAATAACACAGTTAATTCATTTTTGAAAAATGAAGTCAAAGAGATTGGATTTAGAAACACATAGACTATTTCAATTAATGTCTGTCAAATGGGACATTTTTGCAGTTGGAGCTCTGATTTTTAAAAAGTACACCTTAATAAGGCAGTAGATCACATACATTTGCTGATTTCCACAGGAATAACTAATAACTGCAGGAAAGCAGCAAAAACATCACAAAGCCTTGGCACTTTAAAGATTACACAACTGGTGTGGCCAATTATGGCAAACTGATTATGATAAATTGTAACACTTCAATAAATATATTAGTCTTCATGGTGGCACAGATCCTTTATTGTTTTATTAGTTGCAGACGGTTTCACACCTAAGCAAAAGACTAGGGAAAAAAGGAGAGAAGAGGAGATACAAGATGCAAGTCCGGTTTTGTGTTCCTACCACTCTTTCAAAATTACAGTTGTTCACAAGAATCCGTAAAATTTGCTTCCATGTAGCTAAGAAGACCTCAAATTGAATGGGATTTTGCAGTTTTTAAAAATAAGCTTTATCAAACAAATACCTTTATAATTCTAATCAAAACTTCAGTTCTAAAGAAATTCTCTAACAAACACATGGCTTCATATTTCTGTAGCGTTCCCTGGAGCCATGATAAAAGTGTACTTTAAAAAAAAATCCTTTTCTCAACTTTGATTTGTAAATGCAAGCTTTTCTTCTTCTTTTTTTTTCTTTTTTCATTGCCTCAAGCTCAGCAGCTGGAAAGCAAGTCCATCCTGAGAATCCTGTGGCTGCCATGTGTTTTCCATCAAACCTCCTTCTCTGGACAATAAAACACCCCTGAATCTGGGTGGGAATTGCATACTCTCAGTCACCTATTCTGATGACCATTCATTGCCTTTTGCAAAGTTCAGCTCTAGAAACAAGGACAACAAAACCATCTAAGAGTCTGGCAGTGCATTAAAGATCAATGAGTCTTATCTGGCACCAGCTTTCAGGGACTGCAGCTCCCTGTATGAGATGCCTGGACCTAGCAGGCAACGCTCCACAAAACCTTTCCACAAATAAAACCTGCTTGTCTTTGAGCTGGAACAAGATTCTTTGTTCATTTGGCTGCAACAGGCTATGGATTAATGGGGCTACTCCAAACAGGGGTGACGGAGGGGGGAGAACACCTCAAACACGAGACCTTGCCCCCCCCGACCTTGCTCCCCTAATTGCTGGACTCCTCTCTTTACTTGACGGAAAGGCATTTTTCATGCATTAATATCAGCACACACAGAGAGGAAAAGTCACAGCACCTTCATTTCAGATGAAATGTGTTTAGGATGACAGTTTATTCCGGAGATCTCAACATGGGGAATATAACTGGCCCACCTAGAAACAAACGTCTATTCTTCTGTGTTTCTCCCCTACATTTTCTTTTTCAGGGCTGTCCCCCAGGAAATAATTTGGAGGAAAGGGAGGCACATTCTATTCATGATACCTACGGACTGCTAAAATGAATTCAGTTTTTAACCTGCGGACATTTGAAGAACGACCAAGTCCAGAGCGGGGCGGCGGCCGGGGGGGGAGCGCCTACCCTCGGCTTCTCCCACGGACCCCCCCCCATGGCTGCCGTTGACTTCAAAGGGAAATCAAAAGCCTCCCACCACCATCACCATCACCACCGCTTCAAGGTAGCCCCCCCCCCTCGTCCCATAAAAGTTGGGTGCCTCTTACCCTGCAAGGTAGGCGGGGTGCCAAAGGCAGGGCAAAGTTGCAGGAGGATCTGCAAGAGAAGGAAGGTGCCTTTGCGTCTGTTCATCCTGTCCGCCCCCCGGGCCAGCGAAGGGAGATGCCCGCCGGACCTCCTGCGAGCTGCCGCCGGCTTCTGCGCCTCACTCGAGCAGGAGGAGGACGAGGAGAAGCTGCCGCCGCCGCCGCCTCTCGTCTCGAGCTGTCCTTCGGGCGGAGGAGGAGGAGGAGGAGGCGCCGGGCTCTATGAGAAAGGCATGGATGGAGACGCGGAGGAGGCAGGGCACGGCGGGGCGAGGGGCTCCTACCTGTCGCTCGCTCGGGCGATCGCTCACTCTCTGAGCGGCAGCCAGCCGGGCAAGGGCTGTTTGACGCACCCACCGACCCCCAGGCTCAGACCTGGGCAGGGGAGGGCGGAGCCAGCGGGGCCGAAGTCGCGAGCCATTGGCCACTTTCCACCGGCCGGCAACCCGTAGTCCGAAGGCAGAAACAGGGTGCCGAAGTCGGCCCTGAGGGCTGATGCTCGCTCCTTGCTTGCTTGCTTGCTCCTGCTAAGGGATCGCCAAGCTGGGGAAAGTTGCACGACAAAATGTCACGAAGGTCCCTTTTGGACTTTTGGTTGAAATCTGCTTTTTAAAAAAATCTTTCCTAAATGTTATTACAAGTTTGTGGCACTAAATAGATGGAACAGGGGGGTTAAAGAGAAGGAGGGAGCTATTTATGTTATCATTAAAAAAAAAAATCAGTGGACCTCAAAATAGTTAAAAGGAAGCTTACCCGCGCAAGCACAAAGGCACGCACGGATACGTATGCAAAGTTTATACAGTAGTTCGCTTTTTTCTCAAGGTGGATGTAAAAAAAAAAAAACCAAACAAAATAAAAGTGATGGATAAATAAAAAAAATTGACATCCCAGTTACACGGCAAACATGATTAAAAGTACATCAGCAAGTGAAAAGAAAACATGGATTCTGAAATGGGATTTCTTCGCTAAGTTTGGTAGCAAGTTCGGTTCTATCACGTTTCAGTAACTGCACTCAAGATTTTGCTATCATTTTATAGTCTTCCATGAAGTTCACAGCTGGTGTTCTAACTTTTAGGATTAACATGGTGCCAATCTTGAATGTTCTGCAGTTTATTGTAGCTGATGTTCTTTGAATACAATCCTGTCCACAGCAATTGTATATACACCTCTCTGGAGGTAAACCCCATGAATTCAGTAGGACAGATACCAACAATAACCATTAAAAACGAATGAACCCTGAACACCATTAAAATCGTTGCAATACAGTAATCAATAAACAGCAAGCCGTAAAACAGTCTAAATATTGTATTCTCAAAGGCTTTCACAACCAGGATGCAATGGTTGTTGTTGGTTTTTCGGTTTGTCTGGCCATGTACCTGAGGTTTTTCTTCCTAACATTTCACCAATCTCTGTGGCCGGCATCTTCAGAGGACAGGAGTCAGAACTCTAATGCTCTGGTGCAGTTAGACTCTATTTCAAATTCTATTTCAAAACACAGAAGTACTGGACAACACCAGCAACCATTATGTTAGACTGCACAGGGAAGCCATTGAAATCCACAAACACCAGCACAGCTTTAACAAAAAAGAAGAAAGTCTAAAACTCAACAAAGCCTGGCTCCCAGCACTGAAAAATGCAGCCTGCAAAAGGTGAACAAACTCTACCCAGCCACAAGGACCAGTGATCACTGCACACAAAAGACCAGCTAACGACACCCATCAATCACAGTGACATATCATCTCTCCACCTTATCACAACAATACACCCACAACAAAAAAAAAAACACTGATCACCATAATCACCAAATCTCAAGAAAAGGACAAAAAGCTGATTCCACAACTGTAAATACTCAACTATCCAACAAACTGCACCAGAGCACAGACAGAGTTCTGACCCCTGTCCTCTGAAGATGCCGGCCACAAAGACTGGTGAAACCTTAGGAAGAAAAACTCAAGAACACGGCTAGACAGTCCAAAAAACCTACAATAACCATCAGTTTAAATATTCTCAGTGTTTTTCTGGACACACTGATTGCTCCCCCTTAATTTTTGTCACTTACCCCCTGAATTTACTATTAGAATTAACAATAGTTTTGAATTTTAAGGATTGGTCAGCACTTTCCCATGGACACTGCTTCTGTAATTCCAACAGACCAGCAGAATGAAAATGAAAAACAACACCCAGACTCATGAAGGTGGTACCCAAAGGCCTATGCTCAATTAGTTTAGAGACCACCATTGACAATTTTGACAGCATGCTAAATGTGGTATCTTTCATTTTCACATTAATGCTATGATTACTGATGTAAACTGATGATGCCTGATAGTAGCAAAAGTTTATTATGAACCCCCTGAATACTGTTCTGCCTGTATTAGCCTTACACCGAAGTAAAGGCTGGAATCACTGGCCTAAATTTGGCAAGTTCAAGCCACCTACAAAAAGGAAGCACGGGTTTATCTCTTCAATCTGCTTTTATTATTATTGAGTAAAAATAATCTAAAACACTGGTTCTAAACCTTGGGTTACTCAGGAGTTTTGGACTGCAACTCCCAGAAGCCTTCACCACCAGCTGTCCTGACTGGGGTTTCTGGGAGTTGCAGTTCAAAAGCATTCGAGTAACAAAGGTTAAGAACCACTGATCTAAAATACCATAGTTGGAGCTCTTATTTCACTGCTTTGTCCTCATGAATAACTGTTTACAGTTGTGAAAATACAGTATGTGTACATATATTCACATAGGAAATTCTAGAGGTTGAAACATTCTGAGACCAATGTCTGTGAATTCCAGAGTATCCTCTTTGTCCATTGATGCAGCTGTTGTCACCAGATTTGCACGATCCATGAGATTCTATTTGATAGAGCTAGTGTTTCAAACATCATAAGATATACTCATTGGTTTCTCTGAGTTGATATAATTCATTCACTCATTTATTATACAAAATCCAGGTGACACTGTTGCCAGACTAGTGTGTTCCAGTGTTTCTACTGTTGTTCTCCTTTCATTTGGGATAGTGAAATGCTCTGTACGAGTAGAAGATATGGTCGATGAAACAGGTATTGATGTGGTTAGTAAAGACTTCACTTTTCATGCATTACTTGGTTGTATTGTCTGCATTACTTCTCCTTTACTCATGAAGTCTTTTAAAAAAAGTTAACATAACTATAGCAGTGGTCCCCAACCTTGGGTCTCCAGATGTTCTTGGACTACAACTCCCGTTAACATAACTACAGTATAGAACTTCTATGCAAATCAGAAGAAGGTGCAGGAGGTTCCTATTTAGACCACTCCTTTCCCCTCCCAGCCAGTGAGCTGATCTGGCAAGATTTTAACCTAACCTTTGTCATATTTCTTTCTCCCTTTATTTTTCAACTGCTGTTGGGTTCCCCCCTCACTTAATAATAGTAAACCAGTTTGTGAAGTGAAAAGGTGCCAGAAAACATTATTTTATTTAACTGCTGGTTATCTCAGTAGTTCAGGTATCTGGTTGCAGAGCCAGAGGTTGGGATTTCGATTCCCCACTGTGCCTCCTTGATTTGATGATCCATGGAGACTCTTCCAGCTCTGCAGTTCTCACATTATATCTTGGTAAAATTATACTGTATATATATTGGTGTTGTGCACAGATAGAAGTAAAACATATAAACATATTTATTTATATATTTTTGCTTATGATTGCTATAGTTTGTGCAGTAATATACAAGTCTCTTTTACTGCAGGAAAGGAATTGTAGGATTGTGCTAGAGAATATAGTTTGATGTTAATTTCCATATCAAACCACAGTGAAACATCTACTTCCAGGTTACTGCAAAAGAGTAAGGTTTTAACAATGCTTTTGAAGTCTACCGTAGTTTACAAAGTACCCAGAAACCTCTTTAGCAATATGGGCTGAAATCCTGTTGCTTAGCATAGTGAGTTGCAGTAGAGCAGACACACTGGTTCAATGAGAATTTGATGAGTCAATTCCCCAGTAAGGTCCATGGATTCAAATGAGACTACTCTAGTTGTAGCTTACAATGCTAAGCAATAGGGTTTTAACCAATGTTTTGTAAAGCTATTTTTAGGGACACAGTCAAAAGATTGTTTAGAAATCTGTGGGATTTCTAACCTTTCCTCTTAAAATAGTTGTTTTTCCTCCTTTTTTAATATAAGCAATGTAATTCTACCTTTTGATATGCAGAAAAAATTATTGTTGTTGATTCTCCTGAATAAAATGTGACTTATCCCTGATCCAAGCTATGAAAAGTGACTCATTGATGAAAGCAAGTTTTACAATATGTTCATAAAGAAGCAAAACAATTCTACTGTCTTTCACAAAAACAGTTCTGAGTCAGTGTTTTGATGGCAAGTGTAATTCTATTATTCTCAAATAGTTTATTCTAGATTATGTCCCACTGAGTTCAACATGACCTCTGTGAATTAAGGGGCCAGGAGACTTCAGCTCCAGAGAAGCAACTGCTGCACATTCACTCTTGGGATATTAAGCCATTTCTGGCTGCAACAGACCCCAGGCTCATCTAAACCAGTGGTTCTTAACCTTGGGTTACTTGGGTGTTTTTGAACTGCAACTCCCAGAAACCCCAGCCAGCACAGCTGGTGGTGAAGGCTTGTGGGATTTGCAGTCCCAAAACACCTGAATAACCCAAAGTTAAGAACCACTGATCTAAACCATTAACAACTTTTGTCAATTGTGCACTGCAACTGTATGGCCTTTCAGCTGGACATACAGTATAGGGACCGAATGCATGCAAAAGGATTGCACCAGTTTGAATAATCAATAACTCTTGGCCAAGACACTTTGCTATCTGGGCAAACAATAATTGTGGGGAAAAGTCTGCATATTGGTTGCTAGCTTGCAATGAACAGGCAGTGTGCTTCCACCATGCTTACAATTCAGTTTTTGCAAAGTATTACAAACATGGCACTTTTGGTTTGTTTAGTATTCGTGGTGGTAGACCATAGGCCATGAGCTGTGAGCCAACACGCATGGGTAGTTGTAATCCTTTCTCTGCAACTACTGTATGCTAAATCAAGGAATTGAAATGTGTAGGTGCTTGGATGTCATTGGAAGCTCTCATTATCCCTCACTATAGACTATGCTAGTTAGAGATGAGGAGAGATACCATCCAGGAACATCTGGAGGGCCACGTG